CGAACTCTCAAAGAGAAAGCGCTGGCTGTGGCTAAAACTAGAATAGACGAGCGATAATTATCGACACAAATGTCAACTAAAGCCATTTAAGAAGGACTTTAGGACAAGAACGACTAAGAAATAGGAGCTGATACCAAGATCGGATAATTTTGGAAACAAAAATCGACCAAAAACCACTGAAGAACGACTTTAGGACAAGAAAATCTTTAAAAAATGGGGCTTAATCCAAAACCGGTTCTTACCTCAATCGACCCAACTTGGGTACCATTTTCACCATTACTTTTGCAGGAGAACATAAAATACGCCATTCGACTGCGAAATCACGGCGGTAGAACGAACAACGGCGATGGAGGCCTCAATTCAGTCAAAGGTTCCGATAACACCACCTTTACCTTCTCCACTTGTTCCATTAGCTTCAATGGAACCACCGTGACCAGAGGCCAGATTCCCATTCTCCTCTACTACAGGTGAGCAGGGAAATCGTACTAAATGTTAAAAAATTAATAATTGTTAATAGCAACCCGGTGGAATGTGGCAAAGCCGCCACTTGCAAGCTGGAGTACCAGGCGAGAAAAACCGCCCTATCAATGACCAGCTCCATAATAGAAAACGCCTCCAAACTGCTGATGCTGGCCAGAGAAAAAGTGGAGGAAATGTCTTCGGCCAGCATTTTAAGCGAGTCTTGCGTAGTGACGATTCTCATGCCCATCGTTCTCTCCCACATCAGCCCCTTGGCTTCCAGCGACCCCAAGGTACAGTCATTGTCCTCATTTCAGCTTGAAGAACACAGAGGTTTCTTTGCAGAGCGCTGTTCAAGTCTTGGGGCTGATCCAGGAGCTTCTGCCTCACGTTTCAGCCCTAAATCTGCTGGGCTCTTCCACGCCCAGCCTCTCGAGCAATCGGGCCCTAAATGCCTCAAACTTTTCCAACCAAGAGGGAGGCGACAGCAAAACGACCACCACTAGCAACCATTGCACTTGGGTTGAAAGCGAGCATCCCTACAAGCCGGCCACAGTTGCCAACTATCGGTAAAAAGAGGGTCGAGGTGCCAGTTTGAGTGTAAAAATGAGGTTTTTTAGAGTGCGGTTTCCCTGCTGCGTCAAATGGATGTCGTTGGAGTTCGATGCTTCCTGCTCAACAGCTCAACCAGAGGACTCACTGCAACTGTATATTCCTGCCTTTGATTTGCCTTCCCCTTTCCTGTCCAAAGGAGACGGGACGCTGAAAAGCACCCTCAACGACCTGGATTTGGCCTCATCCCCTTACTGGCCAGTCCTGCATAAGTTCAGCGGCAGGTACCAGCCTGTTGGTTTAAACCTCCACATAATGCTGATCAGCTTCAACACTCTTTAGCCTGCAGTGGCCCTCCAATGCAGTGATTCTGCCAGGAAATGAGGTGGTTTTCTCACTGGAAACCGCCTCCGACTACTTGAAAGACGATCGAGCCAGTCCCTACGGGTTCAAGTGTCTGGTGATTGGATATGAGTGGCCTCCCGATCACTCCTCCTTCTTTGGTTTGAAGCACCTGGAGGCTGAACTGGCGTTTTTGGGCGGAATGTGCGCCGCCAGTTTGATGAAGAAAGACCTCATGCTTCCGGTGATTGGAGGTAATTTTCAAGCGGAAATTAGCAGGGTTTGAAGGTGGATTGGGTTAGGAGTTCTAGATTCGGATGTTTTCTGTCGATTTTGAGCAGATGGTGCAGTTGTTTGGGAGCAGTAATTTTACGTTCAACTTTAACTAGTCGGCAAAAATTAGCAATGCATCTGATTACAAACAATTTTTTGCTTGTTTAAGGCTCACATGTTTTCTACAGGCGCTAAAAATTTGAGGTTGCTAGATGCGTTAGATTGGAAGTTAGGAATTTTTTTAAAGGATGATGCAGTTGTATGAAAACCTTCATCTTAAGCCAGACATTTATGAAGTCGGTAAAAATCACAGAGCCAGGCGGTTTTAATTAATTTTCTACGACTTCGAGGTTCAGATGTTTTCTACAGATTTTGAAAGTTTCAAGTTCCGTAGCGCACTTGATTTAAAGTTCGAAATTTTTTCAACGAAGGATGATGCACTTTTGTAAAACCGCTCATTTTAAGCCCAATATTTACGAAGGCCGCTAAAATCAGTAATCGTTGTAGCTTTAATGCAGTTTCTAGGAGTCTGAGGCTCAGATGTTTCCTATAGATTGTGAAAATTTCAAGATGCGTCTCACACTTGATTTGAAATTATGAATTTTTTTAAAGGATCATGCAGTTGTATGAAAATCTTCATCTTAAGCCCAATATTGATCAAGTCGGCAAAAATCACGAAGCCGTGCTGTTTTAATGAATTTTCTTCGACTTCGAGGTTCAGATGTTTTCTACAGATTTTGAAAGTTTCAAGTTCCGTCGCGCACTTGATTTAAAGTTCGAAATTTTTTCAACGAACGATGCACGTTTATAAAACCGCTCATTTTAAGCCCAATATTTAGGAAGTCCGCTAAAATCAGTAATCGTTGTAGTTTCAACAAAGTTTCTACCAGTTTGAAGCTCAAATGTTTGCTATAAATTGTGAAAGTTTCAAATTGCGTCTCTCACTTGATTTGAAATTATGAATTTTTTTAAAGGATCATGCAGTTGTACGAAAACCTTCATCTTAAGCCCAAAATTTATCAAGTCGGCAAAAACCACGAAGCCGTGCGGTTTTAATGAGTTTTCTACGACTTCGAGGTTCAGATGTTTTCTACAGATTTTGAAAGTTTCAAGGTCCGTCGCGCACTTGATTTAAAGTTCGAAATTTTTTCAACGAACGATGCACTTTTGTAAAACCGTTCATTTTAAGCCCAATATTTACGGAGTCCGCTAAAATCAGTAATCGTTGTAGTTTTAACGAAGTTTCTACCTGTTTGAAGCTCAAATGTTTGCTATAAATTGTGAAAGTTTCAAGTTGCGTCTCTCACTTGATTTGAA